TTTTTTCTGGTTAGCGTTTTTTTAGCGAGTTGATTTCCTACGGGATGGGGTCGCTAACCCCATGCCCAACCCTCCTCCTTTACCCGGGCTTGGGACCGGCAGTAACCTCCAGAGGAGCTACAGGCGGAGCTAAAGATCTCGCTAGCCCCAAATCTTTTCAGAAGAGCTAACAAGATCATCACATCAGAAGAGCACAAACAAAAAGAACAAAATGTAATTAACGTCTTGCGATTTAATAATTTTCCTATGAATATTATAAGAAGTGTATTAAAACTGGACGTTACACTGCAAAATATAACTCGAATGAAATACCATGCATTGCTATTGCAGTCAACACATAACCGTGTCTACAAATTAAGATGTGTCGATTGTGATGGCTTCTATATTGAAGAGTCATCTCATGAAATCCTGACTCGAGCCAAAGAACACATTAGGTACACAAAGAAACCACCTAATAATCCCGTAGATCTGGATAGACTTCAAATTAAATCGGCAATAGCAGCTCACGCCATTTTCAACAACCACCAAATCGATTTCAAAAACACCAAAATATTACCAAAAGGTTTTTTCCAACTACAAATAAAGGAGAGTAGCTTAAGCTTTCCATATAATGCTTAATCCTACTGCTCTTAGTAGAAAGGAAGGCCTAACTGTACATCCGACTTGGACTATCTATTCACATTTCACACTTATCGTACATACAAGTTAAACTTTATCCTTTCGCACCACAAGGTCACATTTTTTCATCCCTGACCTTGCACACATACACACAAATTTACATACATGTCTCTTATAAATCACCTTGACCGAAATGACATGACATTGACTTGTTCAGACCTGTTTTATTTATATATATATATATGTTTTTCGCTGTCAAGTTAGAAGAAGCAAATATCACATCTAAATTATGTCTGTGGTGAAGTTTATTATGATAGACGGTGTTTGAAATCTGATACTGATACATGACGTGATACGCGCTAACTCCCCACTTGACTACTTGAGGGAGAACACTGTTGGGATGATCCTGCAAATTTCTCGCAATCGACATGGCAAGCTCAGGAAGACATTAAGGATCATTTTATCCAATCAGCGTTTGATTAGATGTTTTGTTAGTAACGTCTCAAGACAGTTCTACTGTATGAGGCGGAGACGTGGAGAACTACGAAAGCCATTATCCAGAAGATACAAGTGTTCATCAACAGCTGTCTACGCAAAATACTTCGGATCCGATGGCCAGACACTATCAGCAATACGTTACTGTGGGAGAGAACAAACCAGATTCCAGCGGAGGAAGAAATCAGGAAGAAGCGCTGGAAGTGGATTGGGCACACCTTGAGGAAATCACCCGATTGCGTCACAAGACAAGCCCTCACATGGAATCCTGAAGCTCAACGGAGAAGAGGAAGACCAAAGAACACATTACGCCGAGAAATAGAGACAGACATGAGAAGAATGAACAAGAACTGGATAGAACTAGAAAAGGAAGCCCAGGACAGAGTGGTTTGGAGAAAGCTGGTCGGCGGCCTATGCTCCATTGGGAGTAACAGGCGTAAGTAAGTAAGTAAGGTAATAGGGAAAATGAAAAGTCACATGTTGAGATTCTGATTGGCTGATTAATACACTGCTACTATGCTTAGCAGTATTCTAGAATTTTCAGTAAAACCCAAGGACTTTTAAAATACTATAAAAATCCTATATTTTCTGTACATGAACGAACCTTTGGAGTAAAGTGCTTCCCACATATTTGTGCCTTTTCTCTCGTGTTCAAATCGCTGTGTAGTTCTAGCTTGGGGGTTACGAAATTAGCTTCGGATCCGAATACCGCGTTCAATCAACAAGACGTATCAGTGGCGACGGGGAAAAACTACAATCGCAAGACGTATCAAAGACAAGAGTGGACAAGAAAGTATATTGGGCTACCGAATAAAATGGACAAATACTCATTTATGTCTATCAAATCTATCCCTTGGGAAATCAATGCATTTCTTAGCTAATGAAATGCAATTGTTCTTAAGGTCACTTCTGATTACCACCAATCGACCTTCTCTTTCGGCTACTCCTGATTAGCCCCATCAGAAAACTGACATTTAGTTCTCCTCTCCTCGGGTTTATAGTCTGGCCTTCTTTTTTCTGGAAACATGCCGTCAAATGAAGTCCAAGTCTTTCTTCCTAATAATAATTGAGCTGGCGTTACACCCTTGTGTGAAGCTGGGTGCGGATTATTCCGGATGATCTTTTCCGTCTTACCCTACTCTTCTGATCATTTTGAAAATCACTAGAAAACTGCTTCCATTTTTACATCAGGCAAAAATAGGAAGATACTTGATTACAAAGAAGATTAGATGACTAATCGGACATTTTAAAATCGAGATTACAAATAAGATGGGTAATCAGACCTTTTTAATTTTGTGATCCACTCACAACACAATAGCCTCAAAGATTCATCAGTAACATAACATTTAGATTTGATTATTAGGTCATTAAATTTAACAATACATTGGATAATTCCAGAAGCTTTAATTGGGGTGCCTGATGCATTCTTTATGCAATAGGTAGTAGGATGAATGCTTGGTCGACCAAGTTCGTGCCAAGTTTTGTGAGAAATCGACATAACATCGGATTCAGTGTCCAATAGCAATGTGGTCACTAACATTAATGGATGTATACTTGCGTAAGAATTGGTCGTTACACTTTCACGAAACATGTACGCAATCTATTCTTTTTGACATTCGATAATGCGATGAGGTTTAAATGCGTCTGCAAAATCCCTCCTTATGGACATATGAAAGTAAAATGAAAATGGGAATAATGGACAGTCCTTATTAACACCACTAGCGGTTACCAGTTGTGATAACGGTTAGCTATAAGGTTTTACTCAACCAATAGTTCTGAAGTAAAGAGCCTTCACGAGAATCATGTACTTCTTTGGCACAAGTTTTTTATGGTGAACACTGCAACAAAACCTTTCGATCTATAAAGTTTAATGCCATCTTTAATTCAAAAATTTATACCATTGCTGGACGTCTTTTGTCTGCAACATGATAAAGGGTAAATTCATGACTAAAACGCTCACGTCCAATTCTGAGACTAGCTTGGTCTTCTCGAGCTCAGTGTTCACAAGCTTTAGTTATGGGTTGAATGATTTATAAGGATGGTAGGCGATACTATAATTTATGGATGAAACCAATCAGATTTAGAATAACATGTCTTGGGTTTTGGTGCGAAATCCAGTCATTTATTTGGCTAAATAGTGTTTTGGCATTTTAGCTGATGTCAGTTCGTGATGAAAACCTTAAATCCAGTTCTTAACCCTAACCATCAGATGTCCCCGTCATTTAGTCCTAGTTAATAGGTGTACATTCTCAAGGTCACTTTGACGTCGCTCAAAGGTCATCCATAAATTATAGTATCGCCTAGGAGTATTAATCAAACTGATCCCTCTGGAATTATGGCAAATATTTGTAGCTCAGGTTGGGGATCTTGGAGGTGTTATGGTTTCTGAGCTGGTTAGTTTAGTTGTGAAGCTGTTCCTGTTCATCTTAGCAACGCTAGCACGTACTTCAAAGTAACCTTCTGTAATTTCTCCACAATTGTCTCACATCTCTTGGACTGGGATCTGGTTGATTATCCGTAATTTGTCGTCGGTGCTCTCCGTGTTTGTTTTGATCGTTTTCTCTCATGATTTGAAGTTTGAGCTTGCATTCATCAGTCCTTTTTCTTACTCGCTAATGAATTTGTTGATCTATGCTTGATTGGAGTGCTAGACTTTTAAGAATTATCTGAATTCCTTCAAATGATTAAGACTAGACAGCTGGGATTAAGTCCAGCTAAAGAAACTCTAGTTAGTCAGTTTACCTGCCGAAATCGGACCACTGTCACTAAGATTCTCCGAATCAAACTACCAGGAGCTCCTACTCTCCCTCTTATTATCTTTGACCTTTTCAACTTCGTCCAAAGTCTTAGGTATATGTCACACTCTCACTTAGGCTTTATAGGGATAGTGAATGACTGAAATTCGCTTTAACTGCTTTCTGTTGAATGTACGCTTCATTTCATTTACTGACTTTTTAAAATTAAAGTGGCTTGAACGGTTGACTGTACAAACTATAAAAACACAACTAGGTAAAATCTGAACTTAATATCTTGACACTGAAAACAGTTTCAAGAATGTTGGATCTAAAACAATCTCCATCAGTCAACTTGGCCGACCAAACAGCTAACCCATTTAAAATAATGGTTGTTTTGCATGGTAAGTGATTTCTAGCTATTGGTGTCGGTCAGTAGTGTATCATGCTGCAAATTCCACACTCAACTATTTCGGTCATCTTGTAGATTTAGTTCAGAATTAGACTTCTCTAAAAAATACTATGGCTTGGTTCTCAAGCCAAATATTAAATTTTTAAATCACTGGCTTCAGTTTAACATACAATATGGAGGCCGAAAGTCGGATACATTGATCTATTTAAATCGTCTGTATTACAACACCCATTATATTCAACTCAAATCTGCCTTGGTTCTTATCCATTTGCAAGCGACCACTGTAGTGTTTTGTGTAAATGATTGGTAGTTACTTACATTGCCTATGTAGCTCTGTAATACTTATCACTTCAAGAAACAATTTGATTCAGACAGTTTAATTTCTATCCACCATTAGTTTTCTATACTCTTATGCGATCTTTTCGCCGATCGATTTTGTGCTTAAAGTTCTAGTAGTCTTTTGATAACAGTTAGATGTTAGATATAACTGTCTACCGGCAAGATTTCCTGGGCATAGGTTTTTAAAAACCGTTAGCGTATCTTATCCAAAATTCGTTGATCATGAATTAGAACTAAACAACATTACAGTGATTACTGTATAGTACTCTGTTTCCTTACTAACTCACTCTTGGAAATTTGTTAGAAAATATAGTTACTTGGTCGTAATTTTGAGTTTAAAACCTGTGCTCAGTTTTTATGTATGTTGTTATAATTCAAGTTTTTGCTTGAATCCAAAATTTTAGGCTTAGCCAAGGGTGTCATGATTAGTCATGAAAATTTGGTAGATACAATCTGCTCTACAATGGAGTCTACGGAAGCAAAGGCAAGTTACTTTCGTATAGTAATGCCATAAAAATGAAATCGTACTTTTTTCTCAAGAAGATACCAGGGATCCTTGTTCATAAACATCTTAATGCAGTGTAATTTACAAATAAAAATTTTTTCAAGCTTACAGACTTTAGAAAGTATTTGTGTATTGATTAAATGAACTATTTATTTCCTAAGAGTTATCAACTGGTTGCTACTGTAAGTTCACTGAGCCAAACCTTAACCCTAAATCCTTGACCGTAAACTTTTGATCCTAACCCTGACATCTTAGTCCTAATTTTAAACACGTAACTGTGAATAGTATGTAACTCCTCCCTAAAATATTCTTACGTCCTTGTAAAGGTGTGATAAGACGGCTAACAATTACTCATATGGACGGATGTAGAAACAGAATAATCTGTAAAAGACTTTAATGGATTCATTAACCATGTAAAATGTCTTTACCCTTTGCAATATTGCTTGTCCTCCACAACCTATTCTTTTACTGATTGACTAACGACTGGGAAAATCCCATTTTGGTTGTTTTAAGCTTGTCTTTTTCTATACTCTCACCGATCATTAGTGGACATAGTTGAAATGTAAATCATTGAGAAGTATGTTTTGATTTGACTGTTGCTTTCGTTAAACTGTTATTAAACCTCAAATGTCTCAGTTTATTAAGACTTTGCTTTTTGCCAATAAAATCTTGAATAAATCATTTTGTTCCGTCCGAATGTGGCTGCAAATGTTTGTATACGCTCGTTTTATTTATATTATCCAAACCACTCAAACACATTAAATTATACCATGAATTTATTCACGCCCAAAATATTAATAAACTGTATTGATTAATTTCATCTTTTTACAGTTGTATTGTCGGAATTCTGTTCACATTTCATATCTACCTTTTGCTCATATAATGGAGCAAGTTACTTCGGTAAGTCTTTTTCTTTTACAGTATTAAGGCATTCATTTTTATTATTATGAGTAATTATGTTAAATTTTAAATTAACAATGCCTTTTTCTTAATAAATATTGTAAATATACCAGCGTACTTAATTGCTTGTATGATAATCATTTGAGTTGTAAAGATTTCTAGTCACTGAAAGATTAAATGGAAGTTTTATTCTCCTGGGTTTGATGGACCTCAGAGATGTTGTTTCTGCTGTGGAGAAAATTTATTTACATAGCAGCACAAGTTGTACTAGAGAGATTCATGTAGGGTTATTTTCAGACTATTACTGGCATACTCAAAATTCATTGAAGTTCGGTGTTTAAGAAATTTCTCTTTCTCCACATTAAGTATATTCCCAAATATTATCAAAGTTTCTTTAACTTTTTGACTGTTACCATTACTATAATTCAAATATATCTGAAATGTATTTAATCTTTCATCTAACATCAAACCAAAGTTGGTAGTATTCGAACTAACCCATAGGGCTGATTGAATTGGAGCTCCATTATCCACTTTGTCGCCTTCATTTTAATTCTTGATTCATCATGTTTTCTGACTGATAAGCTGTCTATGACTGACCGACTGATGAATAACTTATACTTTTATTATTTTAGTTTGACTTTATATAAATTTAGGCTGTAGGTCTTTAACTTACTCAGTTATTTTGATGGGTTATATATTCTGATGGATTTAGGACTTGTTACGAGTAGAAAACACTAATTTAACCACCTCAGTTAGTTTGATCAGTCATTTGTTTCTCTACAACATATCTGTGGTTGGTTACTTCAAGACTGTCCCTAAGACGTGAATAAAATTTCCAAGGCGAGTAATCAGTTAATAGTTACTTGTCGATAGATAACGGGGCGAGACTATAATTGATGGACGAAACCGGTCAGATTTAAGATAACAGGTCGAAATTTAGTCATCCATTTGGCTAAATAGTGTTTTGGCATTTTAGCTGATGTCAGTTCGTGATGAAAACCTTAAATCCAGTTTATAACCTTAACCATCAAATGTAAATAATAATTTTAATTCCTCACACTAGTTTTTAACCGCCATTTAGTCCTAGTTAATAGGTGTACATTCTCAAGGTCACTTTGACGTCGCTCAAAGGTCATCCTCCAAAAACATAGGACCTTTCGTAATTCAATCCCTATTTTATCGAACTACTGATTTTTTGCCTGGATAGTTAAGAATCGACCAACTATTTTTGTTAGCAGATGATTTGACCACCTGGAGACATTTTCTCAGATGCCAAATCTATGATGTGTTTACGATGGATTTAAAATCATACAAATAATATTATTTTTAATTCAATGACACAAGGTAGTAGGTAATCTTAAAGAAATATAAAACTGTTGGCATTATATATTTTGAATACGAACTCAGCATGTAGTTCTTCTAGAGCTACTGCTGGTCTCAAACCAGAGTAAAGGAGGAGGGCTTGACATTGGGTCAGCACCCCAACCCGTAGAAAACAACTTTGCTAGAAAAAACGCTAACCAGAATAAACATTGAACCATTTAAACTCTGCCCTGGGAGTTTAAGGATCTTTCCTTAGAAGGTTTATGACAACAACAACCAGAGCAACAATTAACATAGGCAAATGGAATGTTCGGACAATGTGGTAGACCAGGAGCACCAGTCAAATAGCTGTGAAAATGAGTAGACACAGCTTAGAGATGTTCAGAATAAATGAAACCCATTGGACACAAGCTGAACAGAAAAGATTAGCCTCGGTGGATGTGCTGTTGTACTCTGGTCATGAAGAAGAAAATGCTCCGCACACACAATGAGTTGCACAGATGCTGTTCAAAGAAGTACTTAAAGCATTTACCGGATGGGAATCTCATGAATCCAGAATCATCAGCGCATCCTTCGGAACAAAGGAGGGGATTACTAGGAGTGTCAACCAATTCTATGCACCCACCAATGATAGGAACGACGACGATAAAGATCAGATTTATGAGATGCTGCAGTCGACCGTAGAGAAGTGCTCGGAAAAGGATCTGACCATTCTGATGGGAGACCTAAACGCCAAAGTCGGAATGGACAACACCGAATATGAAGATATCAAGGGACGATGTGGACTGAGAGAAAGGAACGAAACCCTGAGCAAGATTCGAGAAAGGAAGAACAAGAAGACAGCAGTTAACAAGAACCGAACAAGAACAGAGAAAATCAAGACACAAACTAAATACACAGAGGTAAACAAGCAAGTGAAGAAGAGCATTAGGGTCGGCAAGCAGAAATACGTGAAAGACCTAGAAATGAGAGTGTAAAAAGCTGCAAGAGAAGGAAATATGAGACAACTATATGACACAACAAAGAAACTGGGAAGGAAATATAGTGAACCAGAGAGACCGGTCAAGGACAAAGGCGTGCCTACCATTGAGATTCAAGAACAGAGGAGCAGGTGGGTAGAGCACGTCGAGAAACTCTTGAATAGATCAGCGATATGTGGGCGAGAATGATAAGGAGGATCTGATGCAGACGTAAAAGCGAGGGTTGGCAAGTCAAGGGCAGCATTCCTACATTTGAAGAACATATGGAACCCAAAACAACTGTCTGCAAGCCAGGATCTTTAATACGAACGTCAAGACAATTCTACTGTATGGAGCTGAAACTTGGGCAGCAACTTCAATCATCACTAAAAAGACACAAGTATTTATAAACAATTGTCTACGCAAGATACTGAATGTCCGTTGACCGGATACCATCAGCCACAACCTACTGTGGGAGAGAACAAACCAGCATCGAGCTGAAGAAGAAATTCGGAAAAGACGTTGGAGGTGGATAGGGCATACGTTGGGGAAATTATCAAAGTGTGTCACAAGGCAAGCCCTAACCTGGAATCCAAAGAACACTTTGCGTCGGGAGTTGGAGGCAGACACTAGAGGAGTGGATAGCAACTGTAAACAACTGGAAAGGATTACCCAGGGTAGAGCTGGATAGAGAGTGCTGTTGGGCAGTCTAAGCTCGTCCAGTTTATTCAATGTGTGATCATATTTGCTAGTGAGTTACAACTTAATGAAACTTTAAAATGCAGTTAAGAATTTCCACTGGAGTTTCAATTTAGGTGTATTCGATGCATGTTTGCCTACTGCCTTAACGCTTATTTTTAAAGTGAAAATTAATGATTCTCAAGATATTTGAAAGTGCACAGTAGTAGATCGCTCATATAGATGATTTTGGGAAATTATTTCTCGTATGGTTGATTAAGTCTCAACGTAGTGAAAATAATAGTAAGTGGTAGATGTCTACGTATATGTGTATATAAAATGTATATGTGGTTATACAATAAATCATGGTTAGTTTTATTTAAGCTTACGTTCTAGGTGATAGGATAACTACAACAAACATTCGCAAACCAGTAAAACATAAAACTGATATGTTCAAAATGATTGTCCATCTTAATGAGTTTTAACCAATAAGAGCATAACTTGTATAATTTAACCAATGAAATACGAGAAATGCGGATGAACCCTCGTTATTAACATGTAGTATAGTCATGAAACAAGAATTTCACAGTACGGATGTTTAGTTTTGAAGTGATTAGACCTAATATTGAAAGTGTTATATAGGCTTGAAAAAAGCACCTGAACATCAGTGATTTGTGATTGGAAAATTATTAGAATACTTTTAGCACAAACTTTTCGTATCCCTTTTTGTTTTGTTTTAATATCCTTGAGTAATGAATTCATCTGGTAAAGGTTTTTAGAAATTATCAGTAACTAAAAGATTGGAATGAATTCACTGGTGCAGCTCTGATATTAGAAATTGACCTTATAAATGTCACTACTGGTCTGTGTTAGGAACCTCAGCATTCATTTGTTTACTGCATTTTTTTATTTATTTAAGCGCATAAATCCTGGTACAGTCGACAACTCAAAAATGCATATGAATGAAGCAATAGTATCATGAATAAATAAAGAATAGAAAGATGGTACTATCAAAGAATAAATGAATTACAATTACATTTGTTAAAAGTCTTGTTAGAAGCACAATTAAGAAATACTTCACTTAGTTAAGCAATCCTCTTACAGTAATGATAAATGAAATCGAAGGTACATCTTCCGATTAAAAACACCAGGACATGAAATCCCTGGATAAGTATACTTAATCAGACTACTATTGATTCTATAACCACAGACTTTTATTCTGAGTTGTATTTGATAACGTCTTAAACCATTGAGTTTCATGATCATTAGAACTGTGGATCACTGCATTTCCGACGAATTTCAGAACGTTCCTTGTGTGTAAGTATTGTTCGCTTTTGTATCAGATGAAAGTCAAAAATACTATAAGATTCTCCTTACCATCTCGCTCTTTTGGTTTGTCTTCATAGTTTTATAAAATATTTAGTTACTGGCGTAATTTATTCGTAATTTAGTCATGAACTGTTAACACCGTTCTATGGTGCAGATTCATGCTCAAGTCATTTTTATGTGTTATCTAATAAATCAATGCTGATTTCGCATTTTGGCATACAAAAAGTCATATAACTGTAGTATCATGGACATCAAACAATAACCATACTTCGGAGTCTGTACACGAGCTATGATTCTTGAAAACAACATCGTCGTTTATTACCTTTGCTTTCAAATGTTTACACTTGCAGTCTGCTGCTGTATTTTGTGGAGCACAAATCGGATTCCTTACTGGAGCAATTACTGGCTTGTTAGATGATGCTGAGGCTCTAAAACCTACTGTACTTCCGGCGGTTCCACGTGTCTTATCACGTATATATGAAAAATACCAGAATGCACTTGGTAATTCATTTATAAAAAGGTATCTGTATGAATATACTCTTAAAAGAAATCTGAAGATTTTAAATAGGTGAGCAAAGAGTTTGTTTTTTTATTATACTAACTGATAATGTATTTTGTTCTGGATAATGTTTTTTCATGTCAAATAATCTTATTTTACTACCTAATAAATTTTGACTGGAGAATAGGTTGAAACTTATCGTTTCATTATTTATTTTCTAATGTTGTACAACATTGAAGATAAGTTCACCGGGAATGCTTATTTCGTCACGGGAACAGTTTCTCAGTTTTTGAAAAGTGGAGATTTCTAATTTATTCTTAAATACTTTATTCTTCATTTTCAAAGTAATACTTTTCTATTTTGAATGTTATTATTTATTTAAGTAGCGTTTAAATAGTCCTTAATCACCGAGATTACGAGCTGGCCTATTCTGGGCAATTATTGAAAACCTGAAAGCTTTCGATAATTGTTTTGTCTTTGTATCGGACTCCTCAGTAGTGCCCATCTACGATTCCATCACCGAGGATCGAGCCAAGGACGTTTCAGTTTCTAGGCAAGCGCTTAATTTTTGAACTAATGAGTTGCCATCCAATGATTTACATATCAAAGCCTAATCGACTCGTGATATAAAGCTGAATGTTATAGATTTTTAAAAAATAATGTTTATGCATCTTATTTCACTTCGATAACACCGAAATTTACTAAATACTAATAAACTTAGTGAATAGCAAATAAAATCTCATTTTTCTATTAAAGAGGATAGGAAATGAAATTCCTGTTTTACAAATTTGCTCAATCGGTTAATATTGATTGCGTCAATTTTAATAACATATTTTTAATGCTTTTTTTCTCCTTTCTAGTGGGAAAATTAATCGTCATGATATTCTTGATACATTTTTTTTCAAGAAGCTCCGTCAGGCTCTTGGTGGAAGAGTATGTATGATAGTTACAGGGGGTGCACCACTTTCATCAGAGCTGTTCAACTTCTTTCGAGCTGCTTTCAATGGTCTTGTAGGTCATTTCTATTCATCTTACATTGTAAAGTTTTCTTGGGTGGGTTCTCTTTATTGAAATGGGAAGACGTTCTCATTGGACTTTTGTTTCAACGGCACATTGCTTCTACACTTAACGTTTTCTAGATTCTTTGAAACTGCTTCACTCTTACTTACTTACTTACTTACTTACGCCTGTTACCCGTTGTGGAGGAGCATAGTCCGCTCACCAGCATTCTCCATCCAACTCTGTCCTGAGCCTTCCTTTCCAGTTGCTATTCATCCTTTTCATATCGGCTTCTATTTCCCGGCGTAGTGTGTTCTTTGGCCTTCCTCTTTTTCGCTTCCCTTCCGGATTCCAAGTTAGGGATTGAGTCGTGATGCACATTGGTGATTTCCTCAATGTATGTCCGATCCACTTTCAACGTCTTTTCCTAATTTCCTCTTCAGCTGGAAGCTGGTTTGTCCTCTCCCATAAAACGCTGTTGCTGATAGTATCCGGCCAGTGGATGTTGAGTATTTTGCGTAGACAACTGTTTATAAATACTTGTACCTTCCTGATGATGGTCGTAGTAGTTCTCCACGTTTCAGCTCCATACAGTAGGACTGTCTTGACGTTCGTATTAAAGATTCTGACCTTGAAATTGGTTGAGAGTTGTTTTGAGTTCCATATGTTCTTCAATTGTAGGAATGCTGCCCTTGCTTTGCCAATCCTCGCCTTTACATCTGCATCCGATCCTCCTTGTTTATCAATGATGCTCCCCAGGTACATGGATGTTCCCACCTCTTACAGAGTTTTGCAATCAAGTGTGATTGGGTTGGTGTTCTCCGTGTTGTATTCGAGAATCTTGCGTTTTCCTTTGTGTATGTTGAGGCCTATCGATGCGGAGGCTGCTGCTACATTTGCTGTCTTCATCTGCATTTGGTCGTGTGTATGAGAGAGGAGGGCTAGGTCATCTGCGAAGTCCAAATCATCTAATTGATTCTGAGAAGTCCATTGTATTCCGTATTTCCCTTCAGATGTCGAATTCTTCATAATCCAGTCAATCACTAGAAGGAAGAGGAATGGGGAGAGTAGACAGCCTTGTCTGACTCCGGTCCTTACTGGAAATGCATCTGTCAGCTGTCCTCCATGCACGACTTTGCACTGTAGTCCATCGTATGAGTTTTGGATAATGTTGACTATCTTTTCAGGAACTCCATAGTGTCGAAGAAGTTTCCATAATGTTCTCCTGTCCATGCTGTCAAACGCCTTCTCATAGTCAATAAAGTTGACGTATAGTGATGAGTTCCACTCAACTGATTGTTCAACGATGATCCGTAGTGTCGCAATCTGGTCTGTGCACGACCGATCCTTACGGAATCCAGCCTGTTGGTCCCTAAGTTCGGCGTCTACTGCGTCTGTCATCCGATTCAGCAGCACTCTGTTAAAAACTTTTCCTGGTACTGATAACAAACTGATACCTCTGTAGTTCTCACATTGGCTCAGATCTCCTTTCTTTGGTATCTTGGTGAGATATCCTTTTTTCCAGTCCGTTGGCACTTGTTCCTCTTCCCAAATCTTCTTGAATAGAAGGTGAAGCATGTTTGCAGTTATTTCAATGTCTGACTTCAGTGCTTCTGCTGGTATATTGTCGGGTCCTGCCGCCTTCCCACTTTTGATTTGTCTGATGGCCATCTTGACTTCTTCGATCGTTGGTGGAGTGACGTCTATTGGAAGGTCAGTGTGGGCTGCTTTGATGTTCGGTGGATTCAATGGGGCCGGTCTATTCAGCAGTTCCTCGAAGTATTCTGCCCATCTTTTCCTCTGTTCTTGAATCTCAGTGATTGTCTTTCCTTCTTTGTCTTTGACTGGTCTCTCTGGTTTGCTATATCTCCCTGCCAATTTCTTCGTTGTATCATATAGTTGTTTCATATTCCCTTCTCTTGCAGCTTTTTCCGCCGCCGTTGCTAGTTCTCCCATGTATTTCTGCTTGTCGGCTTTAATGCTTTTCTTCACTTCCCTGTTTACTTCTGCGTAGTCTGCTTGTGCTTTGACTTTCTCTGCTCGTGTTCGGCTGTTGTTAATTGCTAGTTTCTTGTTCTTCCTTTCTTGAATTTTGTCCAGGGTTCCCATAGAGATCCATTCCTTGTGATGATGCTTCTTAGGACCAAGAACCTCCTGGCACGTTGAAGTTAGTGCTTCTTTTATCCCTTTCCAGTTGTCCTCCAAAGCAGTTTCTTGTTCTTTCAGTAGATCCTGTAGAGCTTGGAATCTGTTGTTGAGAGTTATCTTGAATTCATAGAGCTTGTCAGTATCTCGAAGGAAGGCTGTATTGAACCTTTGTAGTGCTGTTTGTCCAGTTTTCCAGTGTTTCTTAAGCTTCAGTCTCATCTTGGCCACAACCAGCCAGTGGTGATCTGAAGCTATGTGAGCTCCTCTCCGGGTTCTCACATCTTCAATTGATCTTCGGAATTTTTTGTTGATACAGATGTGATCTATCTGGTTCTCTGTGGTGTGGTCCGGTGAGATCCATGTAGCTTTGTGTATGCGTTTGTGTGGGAATATTGTGCCGCCTATAACCAATTTGTTGAAAGCACATAGGTTTGCAAGTCTCTCCCCATTTTCATTTCTCTCTCCTAGTCCATGTCGTCCAATTATATCTTCATATCCTGTGTTGTTCACTCCAACTTTAGCATTTAGATCTCCCATAAGGATGGTGAGGTCCTTTCTTGAGCACTTTGCTATAATTGATTGCAGCCTTTCATAGAACTGATCTTTATCATCGTCGTTTCTATCATTGATGGGTGCATAACATTGGATAACGTTCATTGTGATCCCTTGCTTCTTTGTTCTGAATGATGCTTTGATTATCCTGGGTCCATGAGATTCCCATCCCACAAGTGCATTTCGTGCTTCTTTGGACAGCATCAATGCAACTCCTTGTGTATGTGGGGCATTTTCTTCTTCATGACCGGAGTATAACAGAAGTTCTCCTGAAGACAGTCGTTGTTGTCCAACCTGCGTCCAATGCGTTTCACTGATTCCAAGCACCTCCAGGTTGTATTTTCTCATTTCTGCAGCAATTTGGAAGACTCTTCCGGTCTCCCACATTGTTCTGACATTCCATGTACCTATAAAAATTGTTGCTCTGGTTGTAAGAAGGTGCATCGGCCTCATGACTTCCGAAGGAACTTGGCTTTCATCATGAGACGTCATAATTATTCGTTCTACTCCCAGGGCAGAGTTTGAATGGTTTGAATGATTTTTTCTGGTTAGCGTTTTTTTAGCGAGTTGATTTCCTACGGGATGGGGTCGCTAACCCCATGCCCAACCCTCCTCCTTTACCCGGGCTTGGGACCGGCAGTAACCCCCAGAGGAGCTACAGGCGGAGTTCTCTTTTGTAATAGTGAGACCAAAAAACCAGACTCACTCCTACCATTCTTTTGAATGGGGGTACATTGAAACCCAACATACAGATGTCCTATTCACAAATACAGATATCTCTGATAAAGTACATATCAGTAAAGTTTACGAAGTTATAGACAAGGCTGTCTAATGTTTCATCCCCATTAAAAGTTATATATTGAGATTGATAAACTTTAACGGCTCACTTGAGTTAACAGTTCAGGATAACTTTTTAGAAGTAACAATTTAGTGTTTCGAATACAGACATAAAACACGGTTTATGACGGAGATAGGCTATGAGATAAATATTGATACGTTAAAATAGTGAGATTGAAAGAACTTTTAGTGATATTATTATGCATCTGTAGTGAATCTAGGGTTATGTCATAATATGTTTGGAACTTGACTTGAAATTCAAATGTTCAGAATCATGAGCTTTGAACTCTGTATATTCATTGATCGAGTTTTGCCTCAATACATTTACTTTTGCCTCCTTGTTTTTGTTAGAAACACCCAGACTTTAAAAAATGAAATCTGAATAGTTTTTTTGACAGATGCAATTCATTTAAAATTGTTTGGAAATACGCAACAGAAACATTTGTCCGTTGTTGAATGCATGTCATTTTAAATTTCTGAACATTTTTAGTCTTGCTGTAAATTGTACTTGTTCTGAAATAATTGTGTTACCTGGATTTAGATTGTCGTAGGTTACGGATCAACTGAAGTTTCTGGTGTAGCTAGTGCAACTGTTCTAGGGGAATCTCATGAAGGTACTGTTGGTGCTATCACTTCTAGGATCGAAGTCAAACTTGTTGATGTCCCAGATATGGATATTGTAGCTCTCAGAGATAACAGAGGCGAGGTAAGTATATCACAAAATATTTTACGTTTTGCTGCATTTTCACAACATAACGTAAATTTATATGAATGGGTCTATTAATGTTGAATTCGTTACTTCTAGCCTATTGGCAAAGGAGTTTGGAATATACCCTCCTCTTTTGAAGATAACATGTACGGAAATATGCTGATGTAGTTATTAGAACTGGTTTTCTTTACAACTGTTTTTATAGTCGAAAGGCGAGAATTCTCTGACATTTGTCAAAAATGGGACTTTTTAGAACTCTGACTTACAGTGAATTATACCTGTATAATTTACTTTTCATTGACCTTGAAACTGAATCAAATATATTTCTAAGATTTTGTTATGATTAGATATAAATCTTTTTCACTTTATTGTTAAAGCTATCATGGATATTTAGTTGATGGTTGAATATCAGCATCTTTATTCTGATCCAAAAAACTGTTGTGATATTCAGGTTTTATAACATGTATATTCTTCTTATTTATCTATTAACTGGTCATTTACTCAAATATAATTGTCTTCACAGTATGTGCTAGAGCCATTCTGTCATCAGCATTTAGTTTAGAAGTAACAATAAATGTTTTCTAAAAAAAAATAGTAAACGGAATATTCATACAGAGTTACTGTTATACGCAATAATGAGCATTTTATTCGATACTTATCTCGGAGACATAATATAATCCGATAAACTAAAGGTACTAAGGTGAAAACGAACTTTCGTTGATTATAATCATTTCAAAAACAAATGATTTTGGTGTGTGTTAGATAGAGTTTTCAAATTTATGCACCTTTTCATGATAGTTACATTTTACTTTAAACCGTTTCAAAAATGTCACAATGGGTAATTATTTGCATCATATTTAGAACTCTTTACTTTTCTCATCAGTATACTATTTCTGTATTAGATATGTATTAAGGGGAAGCGGTGTACCAAAGGTTATTTCAAAGACCCTGAAAGTACAGCCCAAATTATTGATGTTGATGGTTGGTTACATACTGGTGACATTGGAGAATGGACTACTGTAAGTTTTGACCAAACTTATCTTTGTAAGAACTTTTACAAGATATCTATTCAAATATTTTTCGAACCAAATTGCTTTCAATCAGATCGATGCATGAACGTATGTAACATAAGGATTAATTAATCATGGCAGAAATGTTAGTGTTACACACAATACTAAAGAAATATTGTAAATTAGTTGATATAGCTGTGATATTCGACTTCCTGAGATTATATTCTAATAATTACTGCTCATATTCAGACAGGTTAGTGCAGAGGTGAGTTCAACCAGACCATGATGTCCGTCTATGAAATATCGTCTTCAGAAGAACTTTCTGTAACACTGCCAGTAGCGGAAGTCCATAGGGCCAAAAATAAGTGCTTACTTGCGATAAGCTAACGCTAAAGACTAAGTAAGCGTAAAATAAAATAAGTGAAGGTCAGTTAGTCAAAAAAAAAGATTTTCAGTTTCTGATTGTGGAGATTGTTGGATTTTATCTAAATCATGAACCGATCAATTTTAGACCAGCATCGAAAGCCTGGAAGCACTGGACAGTCGTTTCGTCCTAGTATGGAACTCCTCAGAAGTGTTCATCCACGATCCCGCATGTGGCAGTCGATCCAAGCACCTTCGGCCTCGTGAGCGATCGTCTAAACTCCAGACCACTGTGCTTGCATCCAACGGTCTTAATGTCTAACCTCAACCAATCCACGATGTCGCACGACCCATCTTCGATGGGTAACTGCCTCATACCCGACACAGATGTGCATGGTTGAAGTTAGATACTAATACCGTTGGATGCAATCTCAGTGGTCTAGAGTTTAAACGTTCGCTCACGAGACCGAAGGTGCTTGGCTCGACTTCCACGTGCGAGATCGTGGAAAAGCACTTCTGAGGAGTCCCATACTAGAACGAAACGGCTATTCAGTGCTTCCAGGCTTCCGATGCTTGTCTAACATTGATCGGTTCATGACTTTGATGAGAAAAAGTTATCGAACTAGGAAAACTTTTAACGATGTTTCTTTCTCATGCAAATAAATCATGTTTCTAGTTCCTTCAGCGAAATTCAAAGGACTAGGTCTTGGTTGTTTGTCAACCCAATGTTCTGCACCCAAGGCGTGACTAGAAATCGTACCATTTGAAGTCCTTATTTCTGTTGATCAAAAAAGTGAACAACACAACAGAAAATACAATATTCATGACTACTCCACAACGTAACTAAGTGCGACCACAGTAGCGTTCATATATATGGCATGTAGGAGACCTGAACAATACTCTATCAAGGATATGCTGTACAACCGTAACAGGGAAGACTGATCTTCTGCAAAAGAGTTTTCATTCTCTTTATCATCTGAAAATGTGTAACTGATATCCATGATCCTGGGAAACACACATACGTATTGAAAGTTAAGCCAAGAGTTACGTTAAGTTAGTATTTGTAGGGATAAAGTGACTGTATGTACGTTAGAAAAACTACTCTACTAGTCTCAGATTGCAAAATAACATAAAGCTTAGATTGGGCATACACTAATAGATACGAATCTATTGCAATCCTTGATGTAAACAAAGAGGAAGTCCAAATCTCTAAATCTATGGCTTCATACCTTTTCAATACGTTAGTATATGTCTGGATTCCGTTTTTATTAGATAATGTGTTCAGGTTTGGAGTAATGGCTACTGAATTTTAATTTTAGTGCGAAAATCATGTTGACGAGTCCTAAGTCCCACTGTTAGTCACAATCTAGATATTTGAGATTTTATGGTTTTGCTCTTGAAAATAATTATTTACCTTTTGAATGAATTAGACCTGCATTAACTGTGTTATCTGGATCGTATCACGTGACACTTTTTATTTTTATTACGTTTATATGGTTTTTGTTATAGGTGACAGTTTAACTATGATGCGAAAATTTCCGAAGCTATTTTTCTACGATTTTCTTTATATCTATTGATTGGATGTTTGATAAGTACTTTGGTTTTATTTTCGTATTACCCTAGTTCCAAGCTTTTGTTCGAACTGTAAATTGTTGATATACCATTTTCCATTCATAAACTAGAACCGATTATTTGTGCACCCAGTACTCCGTTTTTCCCATCATTAATGTTGTTGTTCCATGTTAATACCGTTACTCAGCTGGTCCACTGCGTGGTTTGATCTTGTATGTATATAAATAAATGTCTGAAATATAATAATGATCTTGGACGAGTGATGATTGGTCTTGTGTTCTTCCTCTTCGTTCGAAGCTAGTTAGTATTGAGCCAACCGTCAAGTATAGAGTACCAGTCTTCCTCCTGTTGGCTACGTTTTGTTTGATTATGGTTTTCTATGTTTATTGGTGGGTGGTAAGACATAGCAGTTTTCGTTTCATTTCTTCTTAGACTTGCTACTTCTTTTTCACTTATGTGTTCTACGTAAAATCATACAACTTACCCACTCATAAAACTTAAATACATAAATTATAAGAGTTCTTTGTCATCTTGTATAACTGTGATTGATGATATCTAGGTGGCCGAAATTGTATTTCATTCTCTCAGACAACTGCAATCAACTTAACCTACTATGTATTAAGTTTAGTCTAGAAGAAATTAGTGATTTTTAGGACCAAGTTTCTTTTTTTCAACAGTAAAGTATTATGACCTCAGCATTTTGCTCTTTTCTTTAACACTTCAAAGGAGGGAGCTTTGAAAATCGTTGATCGTGTTAAAAGTATCTTCAAGTTGGCACAGGGAGAATATGTAGCTCCAGAAAAATTAGAACTGGTTTATCAGGGCTGTCAACTTATAGATCAAATATTTGTTGATGGAAAACCGGAACAAAATTTCCCTGTCGCTGTTGTCACTCCGAATTTCGTAAACTTACGTTCATGTATTAACTCTTACCTAAAATCTGGTTGCAATGTAGATGATGGGAAAATATTCGATATGAGACCATCAGATACTTTTCGATTATCTGACAACGATATTTGCAAAAGCATAGAAATTCGACGATTTGTTTTGCGAAAAATGAATGAAGTCGCAACAGAAAAGGGACTAAAAGGCTTTGAAATGGTAAGTGTTGAATTTATCTGGTAATTTCCGATTCCATCAGTTATAAACCATTTGTCAGTGCCTTGATTAACCCCACCTTAACACTGAAAGGACTTGTTTACATTTTATTTAACTCCTAATTCTCGTGTTCACACATCTAAACTTTTCAGTGTGGATTAGATTTAGTTAATTGTAGCTTAAACCATTCATTACAAGTAGGTTACGTAAGATATGTAGTTTTTCATTTCGATTGTAACAAAAGCCACTACCCTGATGATGTTGATCCAGTATACTGTTTTTTTATGCATAGACTAAACTCTTAGGGAAATTTCAACGTTACGACTTGGCATTTTTGAATAAAAGTCCGCTCATATAATCCGTTAAAAGAGCTTCATACGAAACGATGAATCTGATGAGAAGAGAATATTCAACTGACAGGCATTGTTTTCATCGTGAAACGTGTATGTCCTTAAATAGATTCTATATTGAGTTGTGGAATTCAAGGTTTTGTATGTTTATGGTAGGCTCTAACTAGTCATTAGGTGGGTATTGAATAATCAGGTCAAACTGAAGCTTCATAAAATTTGTCAATAAATCATGTTTTAAATTTCAAGTCAAGTGCATGTTTACAAATAACATTGCGGATCTTTAAAGTCGTGTAACTTCTGGAAGGATATTCTTTGAAGCAACCACACGTTTAATTATAGCACTAACAGAAATCATGGTTTTTGATACTTGTTCAAGACAAATCATAAAATAGATCAATGAAGAACTACTACTTTTACCGATCATTTTGTAGACTGTTGATCATACTTATTTTTGTTGCGGTAAGACATCTAATACTTATTAACTAAACTGTTACATTTGATTAGTATTAAGTCAGTAATTAATTCATATTTCTTCCATAGCATGGATATCAAATCTGAGTAATGTTTTCCAGGTGACAAAATCACTTATTATAGGTATCAGATTATAACAACTTTAACTTCAATGAATAATGAATACGAAATACAAAAACCAAACATATTAGATTTTGAAATTTATCTTGCAAAGAACTATAACTAGTCAAATAGTTTGGCTCTATTTTCCATAGATAATGACGACACTATTCATCTCGATCTGTTTCAAATATAGCTTAGACAAAACAAAAAAGTTAATTCTTATAAATCACTTTAAACTCTAAATTAATTGTTGTAAACATCATGGTGACAGCATTAAAGTCGTAAGTTTATGAGTGTAGTTGGGAAACAATTTTATAATCTGAATAACGATGTCTGTCTTATCTACCCATAAATTGATATTTTTAAATCAGGGTAAATAAAGTACATTCATTTATGTTCTAACATCGGGGTTAGGATGAAGTTTTCATAAATGAGATGTTTTTTATATGTTGATAAATTCAGAGTTATGTTGGGGTAAAGATGACGCCTTTTTAGCTGTAATTAATAAAAGACATTTTGAACTTGTTTGTCCGATCCAAGTTGATGGTTTTAAAACTTTTTTCAGGTAAAATCTATCTACCTAAATGATAATCCATTTACTGTTGAAAATGGATTGTTAACTCCGACTATGAAAATATCACGTCAAAATGCCCGTCGACACTTTCAATCTATCGTTGAATCATTATATTTGGAAACATGTTCTGAAGGCCAATGCATAAGTAACAATTGTAATTAGTAGCTCAATCTATCCCACTGCCATTGTTTACTATCTTTAGCCAAAAAATCACATCACATACGGCAATCATCCTGTTCGTACATAAAAAAATACAGGGGCAGCACCCTGTCGTTATTTCTTTTTTCTACTACAATTATATTGTTTATTGACTTTTTTAATTCGTGCGAAGCAATCCATATTATATATATTTCTCTTTTATTCAGTGTATCCTGGGTGAAAATTTATCGTGAAACTCATTCCTATTTATTTATTTAAAATAATTTATATTTCATTAATTAAAACAGTAAATTACAAAAATGCAACCACGCAAGATAGATAGCGGGAATATAACAAACATTGTAAAGCGAAATATATTATACGTAATAAACTTGAAAGGAAAATCCATTAAAATATATTTTAGTTACTAATATGAAAGTCAATTCAATAGTCATACACATGTTTTACATCTCACAATGTGTCTATAGTTCGTTGCTCGATATCATTATCATCATTGTCTTCAAGGTGCGTTTACCCGCACTTCAACTGATGAAAGTTCGTAGCAAGCGAATTGGCGGGTTACCACTATTCGAGTTGATTTAATCGGCAAAACTCCTTAACTTGTATCCTAAAAACCGATCTTTACCAATTATATCAGGAAAAATTGCTACGTCAGCAAGAATTAAACTTCACATTTAGCTTTCTTGCAACTTAGTGTAAGAAGCTTATTCTACTACTGAGTTTTCTTGTTGACAGAGTTCGTTGAAAACATCGATCCTTTGTCAAAGGCAGCTGTAGGAAAGACGAAGTTCGGAACTCATTAGTCGAGGTTTCTGTTAAGAGGACATACTACAGTTTATCTCGTGCAGTGACCATCTACTTTAGGATCTTACCAAGTGAAGCTGTGCAGATAAGTTTATCGTGTCAGTGCTTGAATGTATATTATAGTACCGTGTTGACTCCATAAAACGTGGATCTCCTATTTAGTGTTGTATGTAATGCTTAAACTAACCCCGATTGTGGAGCGTTGTTTATAAAAGCCAGATAGGAAGTGTGTTGGAAGAATTTTTCAGGCGTGCGGGAAGCACGGAGGAAGGCGTCTTTGCCTACTTAATTCTAGCTAACAAGGTTCAGCATTTATAGTCAGATAGGAAAACAAGGCAGATAACGAGTAGAGTGATGAACAAACATGCACGTATGAGAACTGATCAAGGTTACAACTGAATAGTCTACACCCAAATATATGTATACAATGGCTTATAACGATCAGATTGATTTGCTTGTCCAAAATTTAGAATAAGTTCATATAGTCTTTACAAAATGTATTACTAGTATATGTTCGTATTAACAAGAGGAGGATTAGATGTCTAAATCAAGAGATGGAGAAGTCGCATCAATTCTAGCAGGTCATACACACTTTTTACGAACCTGGTTGGTTAAGCACTCAAATTACTACGATTATCGGGACTTTTGTCCAATCCCCTAAAACTGATATCAAGATCCACTTTGTGGTATTTCTAACAACCTAATTTACAGTTTAAGGATCGGATTTATTGACAAGACCTTCATTGTAGCTCAAGAGTAGATGCAGCGTAATCGAAAGTAATAATTGTTTCCATTATCGTGTTTATACTAACGGACCCCATCATTTCCGTTTAGCAGAAATTGAGTTCTCTTTACTCTACTGCATTTTCTCAGGGCTGTGATGTATGACCAATTTACGCTTATGGTAGCGTCAGTCGGAAGAATTAGGAATGTACCATTAATTAAACTGCGCGGCAATAAGTATGAGACAAAGTTACCCTGACATGGTCAAGCTAGACACATTGCAAAATCGTTACATGTAAACTGCGGATTTTTTTCAAATGTGCAAAAAGTCAACTGTTAGTACTTCCTCGTGCATGCCTTAGTAACAAGTAATTAAGTCAAAGCCAAATGTGATAAATTTTTAAGACAGAGCGAGCGCTGTAGCAATAAAATAATTCAAAAAACAAATGCATAGAAGTCATGTGGTAATATGTGGCTGGTTATTATTTCAATTATTTATTTTCTTAAAAAATACAGTAAATGTACAAATTTATAGTGCATAGTTCAGCATAACGTCTTGTTTGGCTAGTTCTAGCAACATAGGATCATCAAAGAATTTGTTGATACTGACATCTTCATTCAAACCCTGAAAGGTAAGCGAGATTTTTTTTAGCACGATAAAGCTATAAAGAGTTAGTGGTAGTTCATTTAAATTGACGTGAGATATTAACGCTTGTATGCATTACTTTTCGTATGCGTTAGAGAAGAAATATTATAAAATGAAGAAATGTCCGCGAAAAGGTAACAGATTATTGCTCTAGTAGCCCGAACGTTGTTGCTACATTGACGTGGTGGTCGGGCTTGTCTATCGTGATGAACCAATCGAGCTATACTGCCTGGAACAATCGTTCCGCAGTCAGTCACAGCTTAGAACTTCGCACGTACGTACATCAGTCCGAGTTTCCATACCACATTAGCATAGAGATGAAGTTGTCGATTCAAATCCCATGGTGGTAGAAGTAGTAAGAGTATAAGCAATAATCGGAAAGATTAGGGTTTGAAGATGTTGTTGAAGGAGTATAATACAATGAAATAAATTTGAAAAGAGAAAAAAGATAGAGACGTGAAGAATTCGGAAGAACACAAAGAGTGGATGCACCTTTGCCATTGCAAACTATTTTGAGCCATGTCATTAAAGGTCTCTAACCATCGATTGCTATCATCTCGCGAATCCCAACCAGGTAGTCTACACCTACCAATATGGCTCAGTCCACTTGTCAGTGGCTTCATGGATTTGTGCCACGTTTTGGTCTGGTCGCCCCTAGCTTTCTTCCAACTTACTCCTACACCATAAAGCTTGCACGTCGGTGATTGGGCATACGTAACACGTGTCCCAGTCATCTGATCTGGTAAAGTTTCAATACTTCGTCAATTGATTCGCCATCCTTACCTAGTACCCGTTTCCTAACAACTGCATTACTTACGCGGTGGTCCCAGGATACACGAGCAATGCTCCAAAGACACCTATGATCGAACACTAGTAGACTATGAATACCCTCTACTCATATCGACCATGTTTTACTGCCATAAAGTAGAACGGAACGAACTGCTGCACAGGGCTGATGAGACTTCCAAGATAAGTGAAGCGGTCAACACGCTCAACTACTTCACGCCCTATCATTAGTTTAGGTGTCGATGCAACCCAATCCTGAAGTAACATTTTGCACTTCGAGGGAGAGAATCGCATTCCGAACATGCCTGCATAGTTGCTTATAGTGGTCAGAAGACTCTGCATTTTGTAAGCGTCTTCACCAAATAAAACTATATCGTCGGCGTATTCTAAGTCAACAAGCGAGCCTCCCGGTAGAGAGCCTTTATGAGGTTAATGTACTTTTTTGGTACTCCTTTCAGTGACAAACACTGCCATAGAACCTCACGATCAACGGAGTCAAATGCCACCTTAAGGTCAAGAAATACTACGATTGTGGGACGTCTGAATGTATGTATATGTTCTAGGACCTGACGTAGTGTAAATATCTGGTCTATGCAACCACGTCCAGGTCGAAAACCAGTCTGGTTTTCTCTAGTCTGCTTTTCACGACCTTTGGTTAGTCGACCTAGTATTATTGAAGCTAATATTTTAGACACTATATTAGTCAAACTGATCCCTCTGTGGTTGTCACAGGAGGACTTTCGTCCTTTCTTATAGACTGGCACAATCAGTGATTAGAACCAGTCAGATGGAATTACGTCCAGTTCCCAGATTCTACCTAAGACCTCAGTTAATCTCGTTGCTAGTACTGGACCACCATCCTTAAAAATCTCAGGAGTAAACCTGTCAGGGCCTGCTGCTCTCCCTCACTTCAGATTTCCTATAGCTTTTACAACCTCGTAGAGAGTTGGAGGATTTACGTCAATTTGCCATTCAGGACGACTGGGGATCAAGGGAAACCGAAATGTGGCTGAAGGCCAAATGAACTGATCCCTAAAGTGTTCTGCCCACCGATCCAATCTCCTGGATTAAGAATGAATGGTATGCCCATCTTTATCTGAGATAGTTTCACTGATACTTGGGTTCCTAATATCGGTTTCTTTAACGAGTCTGAATAGCTGCCTACTGTTACCTATTGCCGCTGCCTTTTCCATCTCTCTTGCTTTCGCTACCCACCATTGTTCACGGTCATTGCGTAGGCTTCTTATTAGCCTGCGCTTAAGCTGACTCCGCTCTTCGTTATGTTCAGAGCCAGATGGGATGAGTTTTCGAGCATCTATCAGTGAGGTAGATGCTGCCGATATCCATTGTTTCTCCCTGACCTTATGGTTTACCTTACTAGCGGATATCACTGCTGTTTCCACAGCTTTTCGGATGTCGTTCTACGATGCCTCGTGGTGGGCACAACTTACATGTCTGCCTAACTGTTTTTCTAGTTGTTCCTGAAATATATTCTTAGCTTGCCTATCATTAAGTAGAACCCTTAGAGGCTTCCCTGCAGTGTCCAGTAAGACGCAGACAGATACGTGCTCGCACTAGAGCATGATCTGAATCTAAGCATGTGTTACAGAATGAGCGACAGTCTTCTACTGAGCCCCTCCATCGGTGGCTGATAGCTATGTGATCTAATTGGGTCCAACGTTGGGAAGAATTCGGGGGTTGCCATGTCAGATGTTTTTCCTTATGCTTAAAGTTAGTATTTGCAAGAAATAGGCGGTTATCTGAGCTCAAGGTCTACAGTAGACAACAAAAGAAAAGGCTGATAAATAAAATGAAAACTTACAAACAATCACTAGTAACATTTGAAGTTTCAGCTTGTATTTACATGTTTTAACGATTGTTTACCTGTTCTTGTATAGCACATTTCATGAGAATATCATGAAAACTCAAGAAAACGTGTTCTTTTGACTCATTCGGATTTTTCATATTCGTTTACTTAAGTTTAAGTTTACTTTTCATACAGTCAAGATCACACTTCAATCAATAGTTTTACTAACCTTTCTTCTACGAGTTTTAACCATAAACTCTCGAGCCAAATGAGTAGCAGGCTGTGGGACCAAAGGCTGTATTTGAATTGAACGATCGAGAGGATCTCCTGGAACCATTTGCCAGTGATTAAAAACAAGCATACAAAATGCCTGTCCTTGAGAATGAGTTCGAAGATCTGTCTCGAATCCAAATGAGTCAATGACGGGTACAAATGCACGGATAACATATAAAGGAGATCCAGATATAGGAGCATCATGTGTTACATGACCACTGAAAATTAAGCAAAAACAAGCTAACTTTGTAAAATTAATATTATCTTCCGTTTATCGGGATTAGAAAAACGACTTACACCTCTAACAAAATCTAGGAACAACAGTCTTCCTTCTATTATTTCTCAATCTGTGAATATGTCTACCAGTTTTACGATATAATTAATTTAAGGCAGAAAAATTTATGAATATGATCTTTGTCAACTTTCTTTCAATGTGGTGGTTGGGACTTAAACGAAATATTCCGAAGGTACTGCATATACCGCCATATAGACATGTAAATACCTATGTTCAAAGACACTCTATTCACTAACACATTCATTACTTTCATTGTGATGCAGCCACCGGATACAGATCTTTCCAGTACTCACCAGAGGTGGCACACTTAACAACCATACTTTTGTTGCATGAGATGTAGTAATATTAATTGATTGGCCGAACTACGGTACAAGGGATATTTGACGTGTGACCGAGCTACTGAAATTTTAGTGCTTCCATTGCTAAGTCTTCACCCACTTTCCACATATGATATGGCTGAAATTCAACAAAACTATAGCATATGTTCAACGTTATTCTTAGGAAGGCTTTTTGTAGGGCCAAGATCTGACTTCAGATCAGAAGGCTGCGTGTTCGAATCAAGTCGGGATCACAAATTTTGTGGGGCCAAGATCTGACTCCAATTAGATCGTATAAATGACTAATGTCAAAATATACATCCTGTCTGCGTTCGTATGTAATACATGACTTAATCCGCGTTGATGAATAACGGAGTTAAATAAGTCAAATACGAGAATGGATTTCGAATACAAATATTTTGAACACTCATTGATCTGGACAGGAAATCAGAGGGATGAAGCAAAAATGACACGCTTTGAAGGTGGAGGGTAAACTAACTCACTTTTATCAAGCGTTAATCAATATTTATAGTCAGATAAAAATAAGTTACAGACATGTAATGAATAAGATAAAAAGTGTACACACACATAAGCTAATATAAAAATAGTGAGGGTTAGTAAGTGAATAATTAACAAAGTGGACTTAGAGACTTTTGGTAGCACTGAGTAACAATGCAAGGATATTTGGAATGCGTTTCTCCCCATCTAACTGTAAAATGTTACTCCAGGACTGGCCTGCGTCAACGTCTGAACTAAGGATAAGGTGTGAAGCAGTCGAACGCGTCAACATCTTCACTTACCTTGGAAGTCTGACCAGCTCTAATGGGTTGGTGTCTGACGAAATCTCTGCATGGATTCAGAAAGCCCGTTTGGTTTTTGCTAACTTACGTCACCTATGGCGAAGGCAAGATATCCGTCTATCAATTAAGGGACGAGTATACTGCACAACAGTTCGGTCTGTTCTACTTTACAGCTGTGAAACGTGGCCATTAACAGTAGAAGGTACTCGTAAACTAATAGTATTTGACCACAGATGTCTTAGAAATAATGCTCACATCTGCTGGGATCACCGGGTAAGTAATAGTGGGGTTAGACACAGGGTATTAGGGAATGATGGTAAATCAGTTGATGAGGTTATGAATCTTCATCGAATGAGATGGTTGGGCCACGTGTTACGGATGCCTGAACACCGATTACCACGACGCGCAATGCTGACTAGTGTAGGGGATGGTTGGAAAAGAGTTAGGGGCGGCCAAACCAAAACATGGCATCAGTGCTTGAAGTCACTAACTTCTGGTTTGAGCCTTGTTGGTAGATGCAGACTACTTGGTTGGGGTTTGTCTGACTATCATAACCAATGGTTGGAGACTCTGTGTGACATGGCTCAGAATCGATCACAATGGCGTAGGTATATACACTCCCTGTTTTCCCTTAAACTGTGAGATTAAAATTGCTTCATATCTTTCTTTCTTTCTGTTCTATATCCTTATATACAATCTTTCATATATTTCCACCATTAAATTAACTACTTCGATGAATTCGGTGTTCATCGTGTTGTCCTAACGAAGTATGGCAACTTGGACCGATGAATATATGTATCTGGTCCTATACCGTAGCTGACTGACTGATCTGAACACAATTGTTGGATATTTATTTATACTACTGAATGAGTATTGAAATGAATAACTGTACTTACCGACGACGAGCAAGAACTGTATATACCGCTGAAACACAATCCGCAGGCGCCTGGACCTCAACTAAATAATAAGGTTCCATCAAGCGAGGTGTGGCCATGAGGAAAGCAGAATAGGCAACTCGACGAGCTGTAGGAATTATTTGTCCAGAACCCCGTTGGTGTGCTTCGCCAGAAATCAGAGCATCCAATATTTTAAATTTCACATTGCGAATCGGTTCGTCACAAAGTGGTCCTTCACGTGTACCCCATTGGAAACCCTATATAGTATGGAATGAAAACATACTTAGTCAATGTATATTGATAAAACGTTATGTTAAAACACGAATACGTTGCATTCATAGAAATCATTCATAAATATTTATCACAGATAAACAATAAATAGTTATCCGTTTTTAGTATTTAATATGAACAAAATAATACATAACTATAGAAGCATAATAATTTGGAGCTGTAACTTACCTGTACGATATAATCTTTGACAGTAAGTAGTAAATTCTTATCAACTTCAGACGGTAATGTATCATCCATTAGTATATTCGGACCAGTAGCGTCTGGCCCAAAAGCCCAGATAGATCTGTTGGACAAGACGCAGTAATAATAATAATATATACACAAATGACCAAGTTCTCTATTTACAATTTGGCTAACACAAGTCACTACGGTGTGTGTTACGTGAGGTTAATTTGTTCAGATAAATATGAGAGTGGGATAGGGAATGTCTTCAGTTAATTAAAATAAGAGGTAGAACTACCTGATCACCGTTGGTTGGGGGATCATATGTTCACACTAGAAGGTATTCTTCATAAGAGTTAAAGAAATATGGAAAGTAAATATCACTCTACAAATACAACCAGAACTCATGATGTGTTGAGTTAAAATGAGTCTTTAACTCAACAAAATTCTCAATTAAATTCATCATGATAATCAATGACACTTATATACGAAATAAGAATTCGTTATGATAACAGCGGTAATAATATTTAATGAACATATTATACATAACAAAATTTAACAAGTCTACTTACCTGGAGGCAAGCAAATCCCAGTCATACTTTTTCTGGAAAAAGTCTCCGAGTCGCTTTTTTGGCCAAGTGATTTGCACAACCTTATTCTCTATGTCCTCAGCTAAACCCTTATCGAGTGGCTCAGCGATCATAGTTAACTTATTTCTGATTGCAAAGCAAAGATTTATACAGAATAGATTAAAAAGTTAGCCCAACAAAGTTTTATACATCCCAGATAAGTCAAAAACAAAATTAAGACAATTTAAATGCATAATTTTATGACAATCGTTATTATTTAATTTCTTGAACAGTATTATTATATAGAATAGATGGGATGTAGCTATTAGTGGATTGATCATCAAGACTCAGTAGTTAAATGGATAATGCGGTGGCATTTGAGGCAAAGGTACTGCATTTGAATACCAGTGGAAAAATCAACCCGAGGATGCGGGTACACTTTACTGACGAGTCCCAAAGAGAATGAAATGTGTATCCTGAATTCCGCCACTAGCCCTATTCCATGTCGACTTTCGTCATAATGGTTATATCGAGGCAATTCGCACAGGATACTCATACTCCAACCAAGACTGATTAAATTTCAGTTAAAAATATCAACGGGATAATTTAAACAATTTCAAATTGAACTAATTATTTATATAGTCCTGCTGAAATTCTCACTTGACACTTTTACTAAGCATTTTATACAAAGCGATAGTAAACTTTCAGTAGAACCAAATGATCACATAAAATATCTACAGTTTAAAACTCCCTTTGAAGTGAAACAAATAATCTCAAAGTAGTTGAGCGTCAAGTTAAAGTAAGACATCAACGAGCAAAATTGTATTTACAAGAAATCTCATCTATTGAACTTTAAGTACATTCAACGTTTTTCCTGGCAATCTGGTCCAAGATTTTTCATGGAAACATAATCAAACATCAAAATTATCGAATATAAATACATGGTTCACTAGCTAACTATATTTTAAACAAATCATTCAATCATCTTAACAATGTTGAGAGTGAGGTTTGTTGTAGTGTATGAGTCACGGTGTCAAAATACAAGTGTGATGCCCATAAACTGGCTTTTTTGACTGAGTGGTTGAAATGAAACATAATGATTGTTTAGAAGTCAAGGTATTCTGAAAGCCTTTCAGATAACTAGATTCGACGAAGGTGATAGTTGTTAAGATGTTGGATAAAGACTTTAAAAACTCGTTACAAAATTGAATGATAGAGAATTTGAGTTGGATTTGGTTAAGTCCACTTCGTTAACAAATAATTATTTTAGGGATTTGCAGAAAAAAATCTAAAAGGTAAAAGCATAAACTCAGGAAGAATGGGCTAATAATCTGAACACCCCAAATCGCAAAGGAACTCAGAAAAAGTCAGAAGGATCCTAAACCATTATAACATAAGAGCACTCTTCCGAACACATTATACTGTAAACTCTAAATTAGTAAGACTCAAATATCCAATACTCAAGGAAGAATAACAAAATTGTAAAACTATATACGCAGGTGAAACAACATGAGAGCTGAATGTGAGGGTGAAGGGACATGAAATTTGCTTGAATCATACTCTTAAATGTCTAGGAGAACCATAGAAGGTAGAATACAAGCCATCGATAGTATTACATTCAATAGAATTTGGACATACAATTGATTCCAATGGCATAAGAATTCTCCAAAAAGGTTTTTTCAAATAAAGAGAACTCGACCGATATACCCTTACACTATGGAAAAATCCAAAAAATATTAATAGGAGAGATGAAGCACAATCAGCTATCACGTGGCAACTGATAATTAATAAGTAAACCTGAACTTATCATTGCACTTTCGTTCAATCCATTTCTTATTATGTGAACAACAATTACTTTCACCGGTTCTAAAAAGTTAGTTTGTCTAAATATACGATGAACAATCAGCTTGGTCGACACAAATAATATAGCACATTTGTTTGTTTACTTTATTTTATAAATGCTGCGACATTCTCAATTCATATCATCAATCAAATTATCTTATTTCATTGAAAGTCCCTTATTGGAGGCGATACATAGTCAATGAACTTTTCTCGGATCAGGTATACGTATCACACACGACTGTCATCTTAACACAATTTTCTTTCACACCAAATGTCTTATACACACTACAACAAATCTCACTCTCAACATTGTTAAGATGATTGGATGATTTGTTTAATATACAGTTAGCTAGTGAACCATGTATTTATATTCGATAATTTTGATGTTTGATTATGTTTCCATGAAAAATTTTGAACCAGATTGCCAGGAGAAACGTTGAATTTACATTAAGTTCAATAGATGAGATTTTTACAAAACATAATTTTCCCCCTAATTTCATATATTTACAGTTTATTGAGTGTTAACTAATATAACAAGTGAAACTCCCATTATATGTCATAGAGCTAAATAAACATGATAACACAAATATCAACTTGGAGTCTTCTCAAAACGCGAACAAAAATGAGTCCTGAAATTATCTAAACATTAAGAAACACAATTTTTCACGAATACTAACCCTTGTGCAACCACATCAGGGAAAAAGACGAGTATCATTAAAGATGTAGGAAAATGCTGTTGAATAATATTACATTGATGTGTTTTTAAGAGATTTTAATGGAAGCTTTCACAACATACTCACTTCTTATTTGGTGTTTCAGCAAAGCACTTCAAAGAGGAAGTTTCCACAACTGTTTCGCAAAATGCTACAACAGGGTCAGCAACTTTCACATCTGATAAAAAAATATGCACAATTACATCAACTACAACTGGCACGACATGTAAGGAACATTACGTAATTATTATAGTATATGCAGAATACTGGTAAAATTAAAAAACAATGGCTTGTTAGAATTCTCAAATTACAATAATCCATTTTCAATGGACAAAGAACAGTTTATCCATTATGATTCCGTCTATTTTTAGTTCCGAAATAGTTATTTATTTATATATTTATTTAAACACATAAATATTGGTACAAGGAAGCACCAGATAAATATGCGCCTCACAAACCTCACTCGATTTGTGTGAGGGCTGTGATACTGCCCAGGTGCCCAGACTGAAGCAGGTGGTTTTCTTAGGGGGCCACACCCGGAGCCTTTGACCTAAAGGTCTAGTCCACAAGACAGTGGAGCATCGTAAGGAGATGCAGTCCCATGGTAGCCGGTGACCGACAGTTGGTTCATACGCCATTCGTTCCTTCAGGATCCTGAAGCCCATGTGCACCATTGGTTTGGAATCAGGGTTTTCCAACTCCCCTAGGTGGATCCTCCACATCCACCAACCCGGTTAAAGCGCCGGACACTCGCTTTTCGTCCTCTCACTTTTGTGAACAACACCCCCGCCACGAGAAGGCAGTGAGTAGGACTTCCCTGGCAGAGGCCATATATTCGCGTGGCCATATGAGAGCATTTCGAGAGGGAGAGCAGACTCTCCACTCTCGGCCGTACCAGGGCATTTGGGGGCCCGAAATAGTTAAGTGGATGGTGTAAACAAACAAACAGGTTTATACGGGGTACACACTCTTTAGACCTTGGATAAAAGGGAAACTAGAATGACTGTGGTTGAGCAAGTACTTCTGAAACTATTAATGCCAAGTAAATTGAATAATCTCTAGTCCGAATAGTTATGACTTTTGAACACTAAGTAAAACGGAGAAAGGATCAGAATTACATCATTGATCATACATTTCACGAAACTCAGTAACAACTCATGCCATAAAAATACTGGTGGATTGTTACATGAGAAGTTGAACAGAACAGTAGTCCAGCGATTTAAATACAGAATGTTAACCGTTATCGAGTTATTTTTTATGGTTACAAAGAGCAGAAACTTGGAACTATTAATTTTGTGCACAGTTCCTCATTGATACGTTTATGTTTCAAGCTTATTCTTAAGAAAAGTCAGTAAAAATTCTATTATGATCATCTTATTTGCATGCAAAACGACTTCAGTGATTAACTGAAGGCGAAATTGAGGTAATCCGCACAGGATACATATATGTCAATAAGAGATTGATTAGTTGCAGTCCTAAACACTAAGGGAAAGATTCAAGCAACCAATACAAAAATGAATTAGGCTTTAGTGATAGTTAAAAATTTCCTGAAAACTTACCGATATCAGAGTAGAGCTTGCGCAGATCGTGCATAACACAATCTAAATACAATTCGCCAGTACCACGAATGACACGTTCACCCGATTCTTCAACCTTGGTGGCGAGGAGAGGATAACTTTTATTAACCTGAAATGTAGGAATTATTATAAAGTGGTCAAAATCATATTCATATGTAACATTACGTCAACAAATCTATCAAGCGACATAACCTATAGTTTAAGTAGATAATAAGGGTTTACAGGTGACGTGGGACTGTGGAGAAATGTATAAGATGTTTCAGTTTACAGGGAAATCACTAGAGAAACATCTAGTTGTTTCATTCAATGATGTTTAATTTGGCAAATCATAACACTTACGTTTTCTCTCAAAAAATCCCTCTTAGCCATGTGATAGAGTATTAACAACTAAGATATATGCGATGATGACATATAAAGACATAACTTGTTAAAAACAACTTCAATTAGTTTAGATTTCAAAAAATTTGAAAAGAACTATCGGAACCCAGGGGGTTACTTACTTTTCTAAGACCATCCAACAATTTAGGTAACTCAGAAGGATTAGCAGGTTCCACAGCAATCTTAACAACCGAAGAAGTATTGAAATTTAAGGGTCTGAATATATATGCTCCACGGGCATCCGCTGATGTTATTGTAGCTGTTTTCACAATAGGATGGTCGACACCCTCAATCAACACCCAATTACCCGCTGGTACCCGATTGACCTCCAGCTGGTAACTTCAAAATGAAAGGATTGAGTTTTTTTTAAAAACATCACAAAGCGTTACTTAAAACTACTGCAAAAAGTGGGAAAACAAAGATTGCTATATTACACGACTTTTATGATAAGTAACATGCTTGAAGAAGTTTCAAACTTTTCCAGACATCAAAATTGAAGGATAGTGATTACATAAACCAAGAAGGCATTAACTTAAACAGCATATTATCAATATGGTCTAACTTGAAAATGGGTTTCTTCAAGTAATTAATTCACTATTTTCAAGCACCCAAATCAAAAAACAACCTTGGGCATTTAAAAGCGGCGCCTAGGATCTCCGAAAATCCAAAGCACGTATCTTATTTTTAACAAACGGGTGTCTACTATAGGTAACATGGAAGAAGGTAAAGTAAAACAATTTTTCGGCACTATTCAGTTTTTAATGGCTATTTACAGTTGATATAGACCCAAACAGTCTAATTTCCATAAATGAAAATTTGTGCTACTTATTTCAGTTTGTGGTTCACGCGGATCGTTTAGTGGAAATCACGATTAACTTGACATTGCCCCTATCACCCGATAAATATGATATTGATATGAGCATGTGCACTTGGATCATATCGAATTGTACTGTGAAAATCTTAGATCATCTTAATTGTTTGTTTGTTCATATTTTAACAAACTAGTAATTTTTTAGACCATTAAGTTATAGGATGACCAAGGAACCAACTGCACTAGTAGGCATGTATTTCCTGAATATCCTTAAACGTATTTCATTCAAAAGTGACATAACCTATATGGATCCTGTTAGAACAATCTTAGATAAAAAACAAACGACCAAATAGGAAACCAGTAAATATATTTTGTTATGTGGAGAATAAATACATTTGGATTATTATTATTATTTAAACACAAACATTGGTACAAGGAAGCACCAAATAAATATGCGCCACGTAACTCATTTGGATTACATAAGCTGTAATGAATATATCACCCAAAAATGTTTAAAATTCTATAAATTTTTCTTATGTCCCTAGAAGTTTGTCGTAGAGTTTAATATTTGTCAAATTCTACATCAAGTTACCTTTTATCTATTTTCTAAATGTATCGTATAAAAGTATTCATGGATATTTACCTAGTAAATACCAAAATATGGTCATATGGTATAAATTAAATAGCTCAATCATTAATTGCTTGCTAAAGACTCCAAAAAACCTCACATTTGAAATCTCTTCAACTTTAACCTCAAACAAACAGAATATGTTGTGAAGTAACTACTCACCGCGCGACAGATACCCACAGACGGCCAACTGTAGCTGGTCGAGAATCTTCTTCGTCAGAAAGTGTGTAGTTCTCGCCTAAAACACGGACGGTTTGACCAGCAAATAAGGTACCACACAAAACACGTCCAAAAACATGAAAAGAGATAGCTTCTTGATCAGGATAGAGTTTGGTAGTATGAACCATTACGTGTTCGTAATTCATATTGCATTTTATCATAGCACGTCCGAGATCATTATCTAGTGTGCCAGTATACGTTGATCCCACTTTAGTTGCGGCTGAGTTAGATGGACTTGGTATATGTTCGGCACACATATTCACAAATCCTAAGAACAAACGAAACGAAATTTTGGAGATACAGATCCAAAAATCATACACTGGACTTTTTGATACTAAGTTCTAAACATGTAGGCATTAATGATGTCTTGTAAAGGAAATATTCAATGACTAAAACTTTGCTATCTAACAATATGAAGGATTGATTGCCTAGAAGTAGTAAACAACGACCTAATATCGATTATGATAAGATAACGTGGATGGCTCTCCCTCGATTTTTACCGAGTTCTTATCTTTTAAGTACCTGGAACTGACGCAAGGAATATTATACTTCATATGATAAGTGAAATAAAATTCACATAGAAAGGAAAGAAACATCGCAACATTGACTAAAATATGGAAACATATCAAAACTAGTTATCAAAAAACGCTTCCATGTAAAACAACTACAACGACGACACTTCCAAACTTACCAGAGAAATCGCCAAAGAATCGTCTAAATATCAAACGCAAAAGTGGGCGTATGTTCAGTTTCATTTCAGATTTCGTTAAATAGATACCCAACTCTGAACACAATGACGGCAAGCAAGTATCAACATCGCCAACAGTTTGAGCGAAAATCTTGTATAAAGGTTCGAGAATAAAATCCACAAATGTTCGTTGTGAATTTGCAGAAGGTGGCCGTTTTTGAAATCTTCTTCTGTAATAGATTTAAAGTAAATTTGATAGTACTCCATTTGAGTCCGACAAAAAATCAAATTATACTACGAGGCTGACAACTACCGATCTGAAGTGACCCACTTATTTATCAGTACGAATAGTTTTAGATGAAAGTTATGGACATAAATCAGGGTTCCATATCAGTTAAGCAAGTTTAAAACTTGGAAAACGGTTAATCATTCAACGTCTGAATTGCAGGCGATCATTTTTATGATAAATCATTAGATTCCAGCTCAGTGGTCTAGAAGTTAAGCAGTCATTTGAGAAACCAAGAACTTTCGGTTAGATCTCCAACGGCAAGGTTGTGGAAGCACACTGCAAAAGAATCCCGTACTAAGACGAAACCGTTACCTAGTGCTACCACGCTCTCAATGGTTGCATAACTTGGAACGGCTCATAGTCTGAATAAAATTCGAAAATCTCCAAAATCTCTATGCTGATAATCTTCAGTCAAGTCCAATACTGTTTGTGTATAACGGTGACAGTTGAAGCTTATAAAAATAATGAGGACGGCAAATTAGTAACTACTAAGTTACAGGTTCAAACTCTCATTACCTACATTGGTTTGAACAGTCGGGCGGTATCACTAACACTCACAAGCAGTGTGACTCATAGCTCAATAAATAAACTTGTACCTAGAAAACGAATCTTTTCATGAAAGCAATTAGTAATTAATCCAGAAATGAGAATTTCAGATAGAGAAACATACTGAACATTATCATACCACTCAATCTGAAAAGACAAACAAATTACTAAAATAATGAGAGAAGTAAGAAGCAATCTATAGCACATTAAATCGAAAACGACATATACATAATTTTTATTGAAATAACTGCATAACAAATCCACTATGGTAGAATCACTTTGTGATATTGGTTTAGAAACAACTGAGAGAAGGACAACACAAATGAATCCAAATGTGATTATTTCGCAATTAAGAAATCTAGATTATTCAAATTAATGCTCACTGATAAGGAGATTTGCAACACAGAAGACTAACAAATATTTCATACAGACCGTGCCATAGTAAGTCCAGACTACTTACAAGTAGTAACAGAAGTTAATAGATTAGTGTATATTTAAGTGAAATATTAAAAAAATCTTACGTTTTAGAATTAAAATATATATCACCCCATAAACGTCCAGCGAATTCTTTGTGATCCATACCGTTGGAAAATGTATCCATATATATTCTCGCAAATGATTCCAAAGTAAAGCAGAATCGGTAATAAGTACTTGCGAAGCATACATTTCCCAATAATGGGCTGACAACAGGTTGTGTATCATCTGTAATACCTGAAGACGTATAAGATGAAGCTGAATTGACTGTTTCTAATATCACTTTAGCCAGAAAAATATAGAACAATGGTAACATTGTCTGTTTCCTCACATTCCATCTTCGAGAAAATTTTAGTGGTTCAGTAGAATGTTCAGGAATGCAAGTTAGAAATGCCTGATTTTTCCATCATTTTTAAATATAACAAACTTTAGGAGAGAACGACTAATTAGGGAGTGAGAGTAGAGGAGCACAATGGCAAATGAGAACATGACCAAATGAAGTAAACCCAAACAGATACTTGCATGATATATATATGGCAACTAAGAAAGGCTTAATGTTTATAACAGAATTAACATATTTTGACTAGTGAATCTAATGATTAAGCAGAAAGATTAAATGGATCACATCTAAATCAAACATAACACAGAATATAGAGAAGACACACGTGCAATCTTCCTAGAAAAAAAAATTGATAGAAACTTACCTGCACCTTCAGAATAAGTCAGAAGAATTGAATTTACTTCATCAATTATGTGCTTGATTTTGTAATACGCATCCATTGGTGGCAACTTTAGTTCGATTATGAGACGATCTATTTTGTTGATGCACAGTGTTACCGGTAGTCGTTCTTGTAGAGCATGTTTAAGAATACGTTCGGTGTTTAAAAGTACACCTTCGCTGACGTCCACTAACAGACAGATTCCATCGGCGAGTCGGAAAGCAGCAGTTACTTCATCAGAGAAATTGACGTGACCTAAATTACAAACAAACTTTGTAAAACCAATCGATCAAATTAGGAGAAAATCCTATTGGGTAATTAAGTACATTTCCTAAATCAATGGTTTTATATACATCCACAGCTGGTACACAGTAGTTAAAACAAATGGGTTAGAGCGGAAAAAACACGGTCAGACTGAATACAGAGATCCCAAAAAGGTGGAAATAGGGATGATTTGACTCTGAAATGAAACGAGATACGTACAAGTGCAGTGAACGAAGACATGAGCAGGGGAAAACAGATATTATGCAAAATATGAAGACAATTCACTAAATGCCACCATCCTCATTGAACTGTTCCTTAAAAGCTTCATCGTCCTTCCATTCCTGTTGTTATTTTGGTTGCTTTATGTTTTCCTTTTTCTTCTCCCTATTTTCCTCTTTTGTCAGTAAGGATTCTACTTCCAGCTCCTGATACTACTTATATCTGTTCATTTAGGTAGCATATACCACACAGAGAATAACCAAGGACTGGTAATTATACAAATGAGTATTAAATTACAGTACAGTCCGCCTGTAGCTCCCCCAAAGGCTACTGCCGGTCCCAAGCCCGGGTAAAGGAGGAGGGTTGGGCATGGGGTTAGCGACCCCATCCCGTAGGAAATCAACTCGCTAAAAAAACGCTAACCAGAAAAAATCATTCAAACCATTCAAACTCTGCCCTGGGAGTAGAACGAATAATTATGACGTCTCATGATGAAAGCCAAGTTCCTTCGGAAGTCATGAGGCCGATGCACCTTCTTACAACCAGAGCAACAATTTTTATAGGTACATGGAATGTCAGAACAATGTGGGAGACCGGAAGAGTCTTCCAAATTGCTGCAGAAATGAGAAAATACAACCTGGAGGTGCTTGGAATCAGTGAAACGCATTGGACGCAGGTTGGACAACAACGACTGTCTTCAGGAGAACTTCTGTTATACTCCGGTCATGAAGAAGAAAATGCCCCACATACACAAGGAGTTGCATTGATGCTGTCCAAAGAAGCACGAAATGCACTTATTGGATGGGAATCTCATGGACCAAGGATCATCAAAGCCTCCTTCAAAACAAAGAGAGAGGGCGTTACAATGAACGTCATCCAATGCTATGCGCCTACCAACGACTACGATGAAGACGCTAAAAACCAATTCTACGACAGGTTGCAGTCGATCTTCGAGAAGTGCCCAACCAAAGACCTGACAATTCCGATGGGAGATTTCAATGCCAAGGTTGGAAAGGACAACACTGGATACGAAGACGTCATGGGACAACATGGACTGGGAGAAAGGAACGAAAATGGTGAGAGATTTGCAAACCTATGTGCCTTCAATAAATTGGTCATAGGTGGCACCATATTCCCACACAAAAACATACACAAAGCCACTTGGATTTCACCGGATCACACTACACAGCAGCATCATTGATGAACACGGTGGATCACATGCAGATGTGAGGGCGCGGATCGGCAAAGCAAGAGCAGCATACTTACGACTGAAAAACATCTGGAGCTCAAAACAATTGTCAACCAACACCAAGGTTAGAATTTTCAATACTAATGTCAAGACAGTTCTTCTGTATGGGGCGGAGACGTGGAGAACTACGAAAGCCATTATCCAGAAGATACAAGTGTTTATTAACAGCTGTCTACGCAAGATACTTCGGATCCGATGGCCAGACACTATCAGCAACAAGTTACTGTGGGAGACAACAAATCAGATTCCAGCGGAGGAAGAAATCAGGAAGAAGCGCTGGAAGTGGATTGGGCACACCTTGAGGAAATCACCCGATTGCTTCACAAGACAAGCCCTCACATGGAATCCTGAAGGTCGAAGGAGAAGAGGAAGACCAAAGAACACATTACGCCGAGAAATAGAGACAGACATGAGAAGAATGAACAAGAACTGGATAGAACTAGAAAAGAAGGCCCAGGACAGAGTGGGTTGGAGAATGCTGGTCGGCGGCCTATGCTCCATTGGGAGTAACAGGCGAAAGTAAGTAAGTAAGTAACATTACAAAAAGCTACAAATAATGGAGTTAGTGCTCATTTATCCGGCTATTTTTAGAGTATGAAGATTTACTGAGGTACTGAAAAAACCTGGTTAAAAGAACGATCTCTAAGAAGAGCATATTGTCCATGAACCGAAGGAAACTACAAGGACTTAAGATTCTTATCTTCTGATGTTAAAATACCTTTGTTGTATATTATCTAAGCCTAAGAAGGATCGCCTGGGACCAGTTACTAAGAGATCTACTCTTAGTTTTTCTGGATCCAAAGACTTGAAACCCTGGTAATACAACTCACGTTACCTGGGACGAAAATTAACTTGACTTGATTGTGTTTTAGAAGCCGTATATTGTTATTTGTAGAGTGTTGAATTCCCAACCTATATTGATTCGAACAGTCAGAGAGTATCAGTAACCCGGAAAATAGACAGTGCCAGCTACAACTTGGCATCTCTCCTTATAAATGTATATTGTCTAAAAAAAAACTCAAATTGCTAACCTCATGGTTCTAGACTTGTGGCTTTTTACGATTCTCTCTAAATTCTTGAAAATAAAATGTGAACATTCAACTCCACCTGATGCCTATCCAGGATTACTGACGGTCCCAAAACAGGGAGAAGGATGGTTAGTCAGTCAGTCACAACGTAAAACTTCGTACGTACGTACATCAGTCCGAGTTTCCATACCACATTAGCATAGAGATGAAGTTGTCGATTCAAATCCCATGGTGGTAGAAGTAGTAAGAGTATAAGCAATAATCGGAAAGATTAGGGTTTGAAGATGTTGTTGAAAGAGTATAATACAGTGAAATAAATTTGAAAAGAGAAAAAAGATAGAGACGTGAAGAATTCAGAAGATTAGAATTCGGAAGAACACAAAGAGTGGATGCACCTTTGCCATTGCAAACTATTTTGAGCCATGTCATTAAAGGTCTCTAACCATCGATTGCTATCATCTCGCGAATCCCAACCAGGTTATATTTATTTATTTATTTAAACACATATATATTGGTACAAAAGGGCACCAGGTACATATGTGCCACACAAAATAATGAAAGTAGATAAAGGATGAAAAGATAAGGCGGGCTGAAATGTACAACCAGAAGATTCTTTCAGTTAGGAAAGTTAGAACCATTCTTTATGTAGAAAGTAAAAGAAGGTTGCAGCAGGATCGCCACTGGCTTCTATTCTGGGCCATATCCGATAACGTCTCTAGCCACTGTGTTGCACTATCTCTCGGACCCCAACCAGGGAGTCGTGAAGGACCAACGGAAGCTAGCCCTTTGCAGCTCTCTTTCATGCCACGACACCATGTCATATACTGACCTCCTCTTCGCTTTCTCCAACCAGTCCCAGGGTCGGCAAATAATGCACGACGCGGAAGTCTCTGGGACGACATTCGTAAAACATGTCCGAGCCACCGAAGTCGGTGTTTCAAGATGGTGACACCAATTGAATTATCGTCTCTGCGCCCGAACACACGATGCCGAACCTCTGCATTACTAACATGGTGTTGACACTGGATGTCAGCAATCCTTCGGAGACAACGATGATCGAACACAGAGAGACGTCTAACATCCTCAACTCGGAGAGGCCAGGTTTCACAAGCATAGAGCAAAACTGCTCTCACCGACGCGTTGTAGCCAGACTAACATCACGAAGGCGCCAGAGATGGCCCAGATTGGCATAAGCCGCTCTGGCTTTCATTATACGTGCATCAATCTCATCACTCACGCCACCACCAGCACTTATATAGCTACCTAGATACACGAACTTCTCAACTACTTCGATCTCCTCACCATCCAGGGTGAGTACAGGATGAGAATCCTGCCAGTCTTGTAGAAGTACTTTGCACTTGGAGGGTGCAAAGCACATGCCGTACCTGCGGACACTGATTGCCAACTGATTAAGTGCTGATTGCATGCCTTGGGCATTATCGCACAGTAAGACAATATCATCCGCATACTCAAGGTCGAGAAGTCGTTCTCCAGGCAACATATCCACACCGCCATTACTTACATCCATCAGAGCTGTTTCTAGGATGTCGTCGATGGCAAAGTTGAAGAGGAATGGGGAGATCGGGCAACCCTGCCTAACCCCACTGCTCGAATGGAACAAGGGAGAAAGGTTGTTGTATGCCCTCACTCTGCTTGAGGTGTTCGTATACAGGGCCTTTAAGATGTTAATGAACTTCTCAGGCACACCCTTCTTCAACAGACAATCCCAGAGAACAGTCCTGTCCAACGAATCGAAGGCCGCCCTGATATCAAGAAACACTACGATTGTTGGCCTGCGATAAGTATGACGGTGTTCTAACATTTGGCGGAGGGTGAAGATGTGATCAATGCATCCTCGACCAGAACGAAAACCAGCCTGCTCCTCGCGAGTCAATCGTTCTCGGGTTTTAAACAACCTACGAAGAATGATAGAAGCCAATAGTTTGGACGCGATCGAAAGTAGACTTATCCCCCGATAGTTGCTACAGGGACAACGTGAACCCTTTTCAAAGATAGGGACGACTATTGACTCATTCCAAGATGTTGGAACACTTTCTTGCTCCCAGACCTTTCCAAACAACGCAGTCAGTTCCTTAGCCAGAAAGTCACCACCATCTTTAAAAAGAGCCGGAGGTAAGTCATCTGGGCCAGGTGATTTATAACGTTTCAAGAGTTGGAGTTCCTTGCGGACTTCCGCCTCGTTTGGTGGATCAGTCGTCACCGGCCATGGGGAGCAGGACAAGCTGGTTGATGTTGCCGGAGCAGCAGGCCAGTTGAACTGCCCTTCGAAAAATTCCGCCCATCGTCCAAGACGTCGGGAGATGTTAGTGATTGGCATCCCGTCATCCCCGTAGATTGTTTCACTCACACCAGACTTCTTGCTGCCAGTGGCTCGGATGAGTTGGAAGAGCTTCCGGCAGTTACCAGATGCAGCTGCTGCTTCCATCTCATTAGCACGCTCCGACCACCAGGCTTCCCGGTCCTTACACAAGCTT